AAAGATTTGATTTTTAATTTTGAACTAGTTGTCATTGGCTCTGAGTAGGTGGGTTTCTCTTGAACCTCTGTTATATTAAAATGTGTAACTTATTCCATCACAGGAAGAGAAATTGCATTTTGAGGTGTGATGTATTGCTCCAGGAACAAAATACTGAATTTTATTGTGTCAGTACAGCTGAAGACCCCACCTTCATGTTTCATACGTCACTCGGAAGCTGAAGGCCTGATGGAATCCACTAAGAAGATGTAAATTGAAGTTTATTCACTATCAGACATCAAGTAGCTTTCAAATAATGACTTCTTACACCTTATTAAATTATGCAATATTTCAAGTATGTGCTCCTTCAGGCCCTCACTGATCAGTGCTGTCCTGCCATGATCTGAAATGCTGTAAACAATGAAGATATGTACTCTTAATACCTGTGTTAACAATACAAAGACAATGTATATCTGTGACTTTTAATAAAAACTTCAGGAAAATATGTATTATTTGCATTAAAAATTTTGTCCATGCAGAACTGTTGGTGGAATCACACATTGTATTAAGTTTAACTGTGTAAACATGAGTATTATTTGATTTTACTATATCACTGCATTTTTGAATGGTGAAGTGCAAGGTAATGCTGAATATAAAAAGGAGGCAGTTATTTGTTTGCTTATAAAAGATTTTCTTTTCAGTTATATTTATGTATTTTCTCACCATCCATTTAATCACAAGCAAGGTCATCAATGATCCCTCTTGTGCTGTCTTTCAGTTTAATTTGTATGAAGACTGTGTGGTGTAATTAATGTTGTGAAGTAAGTCTGAGGTTTCTCATTCTTCTTTAGGAAATGGCATAACCATCTTCACCAGTCACCACAGAGTCACACAGTGAGGATGTAAACTGGGTATTTAATGAATGCAGGGATGAAATTTTACTTATAAAGAGAACATGTCTTTACTGTCCAAATAAATATCAACTGTGTAATGATGGCAAAGCACCATGGAATTTGTTACTTCATTAGTTAGCTGATTACTAACATTGTTGTGACACACGATTGCAGATGAAGGTGCTATTAATAACTGTTTAAAATATAGTTTCTTAGAAAGTATATGTTATATAGTGTACTGGCAGAATCTGAAAATGATTGCAATGTTGCAGCCAGAGCATTTGTACCAACAGTAGAGGTGAGATGTAAGAGTTGCTTCAGGCAAAACAAAATTTTGTAAGGAAATATGCAACTTATTTTCCTTTAATGTTTCATGGCCAGTGGATTGAAAAGATGTTCAGTGAAGCCATCATGATTTAGAAGATATTGTGTGGAGAGTGAATACTGATAGCAGTCATAACTTGGTAGATGACTGAAACCCAATAGAGTCATGGAGGATGATGAATTTGTACTCTCACATGATCGAAATGTGTTGTGGAAGGCAACGGATTAATATATTTCATTAAGTCATGGCCAGTTATAACTTTAATTGGGTTCAATAACATTAAGTATGGAACTTCCTTATTTTTATATCATCTGTACCCACTGACATTAAGTGAGAGTATCTAAGATGTATTCCCTACTAGCATGTTGAAACTTTTTTTATGATAACATGACACTACTGCACCAACTGAACCACGCAGAAAGGAGAGTTTAGGTCTATAACAATCTCCGCGCTTTAAGTCAGTGGTATTCAACATTGGGTACGCGAAGACATCTTACATACGTGAAATTCTTTTTTTTAAAAAAAATATTATTTTATGACAAACACTGAATAATCAGTAATGTAATTTATTTTAGATGTAGATTATATACTATATATAACTTGAATTATACACCAACAACTGTGGGGGTACAATGTTGAAGAGAAATTATATCTGGGGGGTACGCGAACAAAAAAGGTTTAATACCATTGCTTTAAGTTATATTGGTCAGTTATTGTTAATTAATTTCTCTAACGATAGGTGGCAGACGCTGATATAAACTTCCATATTTTACCCATAGGTGGTACTGGCTAATAATGCACGGTGTTGCATAGTCATGTTTTACGTATATATTGGGTTTGTCCGTGTTTGTATATGGGGGAACCTGGCAATTCTGGGGAGGTATGTGTTGTGTTTGTAGAACCATAGGTATCTTAAACCCCATTTTTGAAATGTAATGATTGAATGATATCGATTTATTGTTAAGATAATGTAGGAAATTCTAAGTATACATGTTCTGGACTGTTTAGCGTATTTTTACGGAATATTGTCATTTTGGGGGTGTTGGTCATTGCTTGGTTATAAATCTACAATTTATGCAGGACATTGAAAATCGACAATTCATAGAACGTATTATGCTTCTTCATCTGCTTATGTTTGCATTCTGAACAAAAGGTACAAGGGAATACATATCATACAGCAAGACTTAGAACACCGAATGTGTATTTACAAAGCAGGTTATGGATGTAATGCACTGTTTTATCGCCAGGATATAACAAGAAGTTGCGCTTAAAGTACGCTCGGAACCGCAGTACCATGAGTCGGAAAAGGCCTGATGAACGGCGTAATCGAAGAAGTAGAAGTAGAAGTTACGGCAGCAGTCGCAGTGGCAGTCCTGATGAGGAAGATGGTGTGAGACTTCATGTTGCTGATTTAGGTACCTATTATTTTAAAGGCCAGGATTATATTGCATTATAGGGATCATTTTTGAAACATCTCAGAATATCTGGATACCAATAAATTTGCAAAGAGCTTTTGAGTTTGGAGAAAGAAGACAATATTCTAACTACCAGTCAGTGAATTAAGTGTCTGCTTTCTCAGGCGTCTTTGACAAGTTAATTTGTAAAGTTAATGTTATTCGAGGTTCTCATGGTAGCAGATATGAGTAAGACTGTCATGGATTGTTTTGCCATGTAGTCTGATGGAAGTTTACCAACATTTCAGAGGTGTTTGCTGCCTCCATCATCAGGGCAGTGAGCGACTCATCACCCCAATGATTACTCTCCTTGCATATATTTCCACTTGTGCATGATTTGTGAGGTGTCCTTTTATCCTTATTGTTCCATTTTTTTCTCTACTGATGTATCTAAACATGATTCTTTAGTGTATTATTATGATTAAGTAGACATATACTTAATAATAATATAGTTATATCCGCAACATGATACTCCAATAAAATTTAGTGATTCTTCAGGTTTCACAGGTTTATTTTTGAATTTATAGTGATAGACATCTCTACTTTTTATAGGAATGGGTGTATCAAAACGTGAATTGCAGCATGTTTTTGACAAATATGGTCCTCTAAGAGAGATATGGGTTGCGAAGTCACCACCGTGCTTTGCATTTGTTGTTTTTCGAGAGAAGGATGATGCAGAAGATGCCGTGAAGGCAACAGATGGCATGTAAGTTCCAGGTGATAGGTATTAGAAAATGTGATAAGATAATTATTGGTCCAGTGTGAGGCCTTGCCTTGCATTGTGAATTGCCACTATTCATTCAATAAGTCCAAAATCATATTGACATTAATTTCAAGATAGTTTTAAAATATCTTACAGCATTTGTTATGGCATTCACTCTGTTGCAACATAAAATAAACCAAAGCGGACACATAAGTCATGTGTCTGTGTAAACTTACTGTTTAAGAATTGAGTTTGGTGTTGCCTACATCTTTACTACTTATTTGTGGTGATATTGATGAACACAAGAATGTGAGTGAATGTATTAAGAATATCTTTGCTTTTTTCCTTACAATGTTTCTATTTTATATGGTTTGATAATATATGTGCTTTTTGTGTAATATTAATTCACCTGAAACTTATTTATTTTAAAGGATTTAACATTATAAGTACATATGTGTTTTCATGAATACTTATCTTAAGATGATGATATTTGAGAAAAACTTCCTTTGATCATGTATCTAAGCATGCACCCATTCATTGATCACCAATCTTGTCTCAGAATTTGTGTTAATATTTTTGGTTTCTAGGTCCAACACAAATATGGCATGAAGCAAATTCACTTCTAGTATGTTATAACTTGTTAACGAAATAAATTTGCGTTTTATCAAATCCAGATATGATGTAATATTTGCTTTAAATTTGTTGATACAACTGCAGACATCTATAACAAAGTATGTACCGATAGCAAAAGGGGCATAAATAATGTGTTATATTTTTACGATGTACTGATTATTGCACATTTGTTCATAAATTTTATGCAGATTATCTTTTATACATTTACAGTTTCTCAAATGTGATTGTAAAGTACATACATGCATGTGCATGCTTATACACATCTAAAATAGTATGGCATCTTATGTGGAGTTTGGATTTTACCTGTTTCACTCTAGTTTTCTTTTCAACACTGTAGAAAATCTATTCCAGTCCCCTCTCTTATTAATGATATCTATCTTTGGGTTTAATAAAGAGTACTGTATTGGGTGTACTTTCCATTGTAATATGAAAGTTTATTTTTGGATGAGCTGAATGTTTTGGTCAAGGAGAAAGTGATCCTGCTTCATGTTCATGATGTCTCTAGTTCAGATCTGCCCAGAGATTGACTATTCTGCGTGAGATTTAAATTAGTTTTCCTCAGCTCTTCTGAATAAATGCTGGGTAATTCCTTAAATTAAGCCATGGGTGCTTCCTTCCACATCCTCCAGTTCATTAACCATTCTGTCATTTGATGTTATATGGCCTACGTACTAACAGCATTATTAAATAGACAATAAAATACCAAAATCCAGATACCTTTTGATGAATTATTAGACCAAGTAACTGGAACAGCTACCATGCCAAGAGATGATAGCATATTTCTGAAGTTTATTTAAAGGAAGCAAATTAAATGATGAGTCCAATTTGTTTTAAGAGTAGAGAAGGTTAGCAGAGTTATAAATAAGATACTTTCACAGAATTTTATAACAAGGACAGGCTGAAGATAATGAAAGGAGTTTATTAGGATTACAGTGAAATGGCCATGATTTGTTTTTTGAATTCACCAGCACAGAACCACATAAAATTCAGTGTATTATTGTTTTATAATGTATACTATACGTAACACTTTGTGTATTGGTTTATTTATCCTGTCTTCAATTCAGGACTTTGTGTGGGAGCCGAATCCGGGTGACATTTGCTCGTCCCAGAACTCGAGGGCGTGGACAACGTGGCTATGATCCCAACATGCGATGTTACCAGTGTGGGGAGAGAGGCCACTTCTCACGGGACTGCCCAGACACCAAGTATGGATACAAGAGGCCACCTTCTAGGTATGCAGTACTCATCACTTTGATATCCAATACCTCTCTTTGAGCTTATCCGTTGCTTACAGTGTTCGCCTATTATTCATGTGTTATTGTGAAATTTACATAGGAATCCTTGGCACCAGAATTGAGTCCTCTGCATTTTGAAGTTTTTGAAAGGTATTATTGTCCGGAATAGTAGAGGTAACCTAACAGTGAAGACAATAAAATATCACACAGGTTTTGTGTGGACCAATCACAGTTTTACGTGCATTTGTGCAGTTTTTCGTGTCTTTTGTAATTCTTTTTATGATAAGCATTGTATTCTGTTTTTGGTATTCCAAAGAGAGGGATATTTCGTCGACTTACGACATTGCTTGATTTACTTTAGGGTGTGTGTGTTGGTTATGGTAGAGAGGTGATTGGTTGTATTGGTCAAAATCGATCACTATTGGTCCATTGGGTGACCTCTGGTTGGTTGGAATGGAACTTCTGTCTGGTGGCCTGCAATTGGGTGGATGAAGACTGGAGGATTTATCATGGTTTTGATTGGTAGCTCACTCTCACGATCATGGTCATGGTAATCTTGGTGGTGCCAGGTCCCGAGGTTGGTAGGTATCCACAGTCATTCATACCTTAGCTTTCTATTTCCCAGTCAGTAGTCAGAGCCATAGCTTGATGTCCAAGGTGCCAATGAGTTAAAGTAGTTGATTTAATGTCATTAACTACGTATGATGGCAATATGTCTCCAGGTATGGCTCTGTATGCAACCCTGAAGGAAGGGTAGAGGTTTTTAATCTTTAATGTTCAAATAGTGCTTCACAGGCAGATCTTATTCACATTATTTAATAATCGGCTGTGTTCCTGTAATGAGCATGGCAAACATAACAAATATCCTTACTATGAGAAAATTATGTAACTGTGAGTATGAAAGTCATGTTTAACCCTCTCACACTTATAATCGTACAGAACAGATTTGTATACCTTCTGCATGGAAGGAAGAGACTTGCCATTTGTTGATATAAATAGATAAGGGAAATAGAGACACATCACTGATGGGGGAGGGGAAAAAACCTGTTCAGAGCACACTATTTCCTCTTTATAATGCTATATATTGTGTGTAAAATGGGTATTAAAAACTGAATGGTATGTAGCACCTAAGTGCAAACACAGTGCAGCATTGCATATACTTTTTCTGCATACTTGAATAATTTCTAGAAAACAGCTTGTTTAAAAAGTATTATGTGTTAAAAGTTGTGTGTAGTGTCTCGTGAATGTGACATACTCGTAACTTTCATAGCACTTACAGTGTTGATAGACAAATTAATTATATTGAATTTCAGTATACCCATGCTCAATACATTATATACTCTGTATACTTATCAGTGTATGAAATGTCCAAATTATGAATTATCTGTGCATGTTATTTTCCCATTATAATTTTCTTCCCTTGTACATTTATAAAACTTTGCAGTGTAAATGTGGGACTAAATGAATAATTTAGAACATATTTTTAATTTATTTTTCTTTCCAATTTATTTTATTTTATTTTTCTTAATGCAGTGATGATTTATAAAACCATGCACTCCCATACACATACTTCTGTTTTTATCTGCTGTATATCCTTTCTGTTTTATATCGATATTTGTCTTTGTTATGATATCCTTAAAAATTTTGTGGGATGTGTTGAGTTGGAGGGGAGGTAGAGACTGAACATTCTAAAACAGAATGCTCCACTACAAATTGTGCTTACAGTTTCTAAAATTTTTATTGCAATGTAGTTCATGATTGAAAGTATGAGCTTAAACCTGATTTTGTTTCTGTTTGTCCCTTCTTCCCTTTCCATTAGTCTGGATAGTTGAAAGTTTACTGTACTTTATATTTTTTAATGAAATGAGTGTTGGATGACTTGAGAATTATTAAAGAATTATTAAAGATACTGATATGGTAGAGCTGCGAACAAATCACATAATTATAAAGACATTGTGCATAACTACTGCAACTATGCTGTTGTTTTTTTCTGTCTGGATTTAGATTGTTTTATGGTTTGCAGTGGGTGTTTTGTTTGCTTAAAAACATGAGTGATAAATTGTTAGAACTCAACATTACATTTTAGTGAAACTGGAGGAAAAAAAATCCACAGACATGCAAAATGTTAGAGGATGATAATAGGAAGGGAGCAATGAATGTACTAAATGCGAGAGTCCATGTAATGTATGCAGCCTGGGAAGTCACATCTGCACTACTAGTAGACTGAAAAAATCATGCTTCTTATTTGTTGTAAACTTTGCTCATAATGCTTTATAACACTGGAAATTATAAAATAGTCAATAATGACAAAAAAATGAATAATGATACTATGAACAGTGGAGCAGCAAAAAGCAACAAAGTCTTGTGAGAAATATCTTTGTAACAAAGAGCAATGTTCTCCACTGCTTCCCTTGCCTACCAGGCTGCGTGCATCACAAGTACTTACTTAGCTTTTGCATACAATGACAAGAATTTTTTAGTGTGTTGAGCAATTTTAGGGTGGAAGGGAAGATGGTCCATTATAACAAAGATTCAGCCATCCAGCAACTTCTAGAACTGATCCAAATGTAGAAAATGTTGGAGAAATGGTAAGAGATGATCCTTTCAGTGATTGGAAGACAGTAGAAAAACTGAAAAAGAAGAGTGTGGAGAAGTAGGATTTGAAGTTTTAATGGCAGTGAGTCTGAAGGCAGCCGTCTTAAGAATGTGGGGGATTTATTTTGACAAAGATCTGAATGTGGTAGAGGGTTTGTCCTAATATGGCATTGAAAAGTCTCAGTGAGAAGCAAACATTTAGGAGGAAAATGTTCTCAGATCTTTCAGCAATAATGTTGGAAGAACTTTGCTCTGAAAAGTTAGTGACTTGGTATGAAACTTGAGTTCTGCTGGTATGACAGAAGTTAAAAGTTGCGTGTCTCCGAGACAGAATGACACGAATGTGAAAGCCATGCTAATCTATTTGTTTTTTTAAGAATCTATTTGTTATGAATTTCTTCCTGAATCCAGTCAACCAAGCATTCTGTGTTTAAATTTTTGGAATGTTTATGGCAGATCTTTGGCCAGGCAAGTAGATTTTGCATCATAACAATGCACTTTTCCATTGCTGCACTTTTGAAAAAGCAATTTTTAGCCAGAAAGCAGGTACCAGTATTGGAACATGTACCATTGTAGTATTATTTGGTTCTATGTCATTTTCATTTTCTTTAAACTAGAAATATCTCATTTTAAGTCACCTAAAAATCTTGAAAGCAATGTAATGGGATTACTGAAAGGATTTCCAGTAATGTTGCCAGACATAGTGGAGGCATTGGAAAGTGTATGTAAAGTTAGAAGGTAAGTAAGCAATTTGAAGATAACCACACCCACTAAGGGAGACTGTCTTGTAATTCATAGGAACATGTCCTAATAACCTTGTTTGTATTCGTGAATAATCTTTGTGGTTTTAGAAATGAGATGAGCAAATAAAATATTGTAAACTGAATGCTAGCATGAATTTAAAAATATATTATATTTCATTTCATCATGAATATCGTACTTATTTTATTATATTGTAACTTGTTTAGTACTTGTGCTGCAGCAATGTAATGGCTTATTTGGATTTTTATAGCAGACCTGTTCTACGAAGACAGTGAAAGACAGGACTAGGGGGAGGGTTTTTTTCCCCCTTATGATTATGTTAGCTATATTTAGTGATTGCTTGCACTTTTAAATTTTGTGTAGGGATGATGTCACCAAAAATAATTATCCTTTTATTGTGAGAATATGCAAGAAGAAGATGTATTTTATGAGTATGTGTTTATTTAACCATAGTCAATTTGTATCTGTACCTGCAGAGTGGAATAGGAGTAAAGCTCCATCTATTATTAAACATGATGGGTCTGGGTGGTCAGCTTCATGCTTTGGCCACCCAGTGTACTTATTGGATAGGAGGCTGGGCAAGTAAACTGGGCCAGATGAGCCACATCAGGGAGGTGACTGTCAATGGGCTTGATGCCTGTGGTTTAATTCCTGACAGGAGCAGGGATTTTACAATGTGAAAACATTTAAGATTATTCTTTTGGACTTTTGTCCATCGTCATATTTGTAAAGTAAAACTAGTGTTCCAGAAGCTTTTTGTCCTCATCCCCTCTTTTCTACTTGAAGACAGAAGCAGAACACAGTATCTGAAATGATGGACAAAGTCCAAAAGAACAGATTTTTCTGTTCACTGCTGCCATGCCTAGACTGGGGTTCACCCAACTTCATATTTACAGAGTACTGGAGATGTTTTCCCAGGACATTAAAGGCATCAGAATATGAAGCTGATTACATCTGTCTTTTTCTGAGGCCTAGAAAGTATAAGTCTTTACCTTCATACTTTTAATATATATTTATGGTGCTTTGACATGAGCAGTTTTAAGTTTGTTATTTCGTAGTGAAATGCTGGTAATTCTTTGAGCAGAGAAGCTATTAATGCATAAAGTAAGATATTTTTGTTTGACTGTAATGGTCATTGGTTATACAACACAAATGAGAATTTCTGATCTGTGCTCCTTGTCTAATCCATCAATTGATTTCAAAGTGTAATGAGAAGGTAGACTTACTCCTCAGTTGCTTATAAGTAGGAGGAATAGGTCTGCTGTTACTCATTTTGTTGAAGATGCAGATGGTTAATTTGTTGGAAACATTAACAAATCAGCCTTTCACAACACAGTTATCTGAAAATGTTAAGCCCCAATATACCACCATGAATGCCTTAAAAATTTTGAACAGTGCATTCTTGTATGCTGTCAAATTCTGTGATGAGTAACTACCAACCAGGAACAGCCTACTTTCAGCTGAGCACTACCAATTAATTCTGATATGAATCTAGAATGACTCAGAATGATCACTCACTCAGTGTGTGGTGCAGGAAAATGCTCTGGTCCTGAAGGGTTGCAGTTAATAGAAAGGAAATTTGGAAATACTTATTCCTGTAAAGCAGAGGAGCATTGAACAGTGATTGTTGCTTCAACTTTTGCTGACACAGTAAAGCCTTGTTAATTTGAAGCTGAAAGAAGTGTAACAGAACTTTGGTTTTAGATTTGATCATAGTAGAGAAGTCTGGTCTTTGCTCACATAAGCTCCAGAAAATATTGTGTTAGCCAATCCTCAGATTGTCCCGCGCCGTAACCGTGCGGTCTGAGGCATCATGCTTCGGACCGGTGATACAAAATGCGCGCTGGTTCAAGTCTCGGGGGAAAGAAATTTTTCATGAGATTTTCGACCAGTGTATGGGACCGGTGCCAACCCAGCATCGTGAG